CTTCTCTTCTCTTCTCTTCTCTTCTCTTCTCTTCTCTTCTCTTCTCTCTCTTCTCTTCTCTTCTCCATTCCATTCCATTCCATTCCATTCCATATTTTATTTTCTATTCTATTCTATTCTATTCTATTCTATTCTATTCTATTCTATTCTATTCTATTCTATTCTATTCTATTCTATTCCATTCCATTCCATTCCATTCCATCCCATCCCATCCCATCCCATCCCATCCCATCCCATTCTTTTCTATCCTATTCTATTTTCTATACTCTACTCTACTTTACGCTATCCTATCCTACCCCACCCTACCCTACTCTACTCTATTCCAAGATCATTTGGAAACAAGCCTATGAAAGACAAGAAGTCCTGCTTCACCTGAGAGCTTGCTTGCAACCTTTGAAAGGCATTCTTTCCAAATAAAAACACTTCCTCCACTGCTGATGTCTCACACCAAGTGGATAATATACAGTATATAGATATATATACACACACAAAACATCCGTGTCCCAACCATTGACACTTGAAATAAATGCAAGTGTTAATAAAACATTTGATGTCTGTTGCACTAAGGAACTTTTTTTTAAAAAAAGAAATCCCTCCACGTTGGCAATATTACAAACGCTTGTTAACAATTAAACAGGATTTAATTGGAGCTGGGGTTTAGCCTTAGAACCTGGAAAGGGTGAGGGAAAGTTTGCTTCAGGGATAGTCTTGAAACAGCAAAAGTGCTTTTTCCCAGCACGTCCCAAGTGCTTTGCTTTAATTCCTTAATTTATTACAGCAGCTCAAACCCAGATCTGAGATTAAGGAGAGATCCTTCTAGGACACACACACACACACAGGGAGAGAGGGAGAGACAGAGGGAGGGAGGGAGGGAGAGGGAGGGAGGGAGGGAGGGAGGAGGGAGGGAGGGAGAAGGAAGGAAGGGAGGGAGGGAGGGAGGAAGGGAGGGAAGAAGGAAGAAAGAAAGAGAGAGAGAGAGAGAGAGAAAGAAAGAAAGAAAGAAAGAAAGAAGGAAGAAAGAAAGAAAGAAAGAAAGAAAGAAAGAAAGAAAGAAAGAAAGAAAGAAAGAAAGAAAGAAAGGGGCCTGGTGGCTCAGCAGGGGAGGGAGGGAAACATAGCTTTGGAAGGGACCTTTGAGGTCTTCTAGCCCAACCCCTCTGGTGAAGGGAAGAACTCTCTGGAAGAGCAACTATGGCGTGCAAAAGCTCTATTAACTTTCTGAAGCTGGAGCCGAAAGGGCTCCTTTCCCGTTTTGTTTTTCTATTAACAAAATAACAGCAAAATAACTGGTTTTTTTCTTCGAAGGCGTTTTGCTTCTCATCCAAGAAGCTTCTTCAGCTCTGAGCTGAAGAAAAGAAAAAAAAACCCAGAAAGTAACAGTGTTGGAAGGGACTTTGGAGGTCATCTAGCCCAACCCGCTGCTCTCGCAGGAGACCTGTAGTAGGGATTCGAACCGCCAAATTGCTGACCTTTCTGATCGACCAGCTCAGTGTCTTAGCCACCGAGCCACCTAGTCAGTCCAGTTGCCTCTTGAAGAAGCACCTTTGAGACAACAGCCTTCAGGAGGTGTTCTAATCCAGCCACCTGCTCAGACAGGAAACCCTACACCAGTTCAGACAAATGGGTTATCCAATCTCAAAAACCTCCAGGGATGGAGAATCCACAACTTCTGAAGACAAGTCATCCCACTGATGAATTGTTCGGTCAGGAAGTTTCTCCTTAGTTCTAGGTTGCTTCTCTCCTTGATTAGTTTCCACCCATTGCTTCTTGTCCTGCCTTCAGGTGCTTTGGGAGAATAAGTTGACCCCCCCACTCCTTCTCAGTAACAGCCCCTCAAATATTGGGCGCCTGCCATCCTGTCCTCTGTAATCCTTCTCTTCCTTAGAGGTAGACATACCAAGTTCTCACAACCGTCCATCTTACAGGTTTGCCTTCAGATCTTTTACCCTCTCTTCCTTCCTTCCTTCCTTCCTTCCTTCCTTCCTTCCTTCCTTCCTTTCTTTCTTTCTTTCTTTCTTTCTTTCTTTCTCTCTCTCTTTCTTCCTTCCTTCTTCCTTTCTTCTTTCTTTCCTTCCTTCCTTCCTTCCTTCTTTCTTTTTCTTTCTTTCTTTCTTTCTCTCTCTCTCTCTTTCTTTCTTTCTCTCTCTCTCTCTCTTCCTTCCTTTCTTCTTTCTTTTTCTTTCTTTTTTTCTTTCTCTCTCTCTCTCTCTCTCTCTTTCTTTCTTTCTTTCTTTCTATTTAAATTTATATACCGCCCTTCTCCCGAAGAACTCAGGGAGGTGAACAGCCAAAGGTAAAAAACACAGAATACAAAAACTTAAGAGCAATTTAAAAACCTATTAAACAATTTTAATCCCCAATAATTAAAATACCCCCTTTAAAATTCGAATTAAAATTAAGCTGCCAGAGAAGCTGTTTCTTCCTCTTCTTAGTTTGCTCTTGAGTGCTCTTTGTTGCACTCAAGCCCAAAGAAGGAAACGGGACTCTTACCAAGAGACGCTTCCAAAGCCTGCAGTCAGCTGGGCCAACTCTTGCGCGCTGCCATGGGCGCAGGGAGATCCTCAGATGCGCAAGGTGTGCGAGGCAGGATCGCAAGGCGAGGAAGAAGGAGACAAGTGGCTGGAGACGACCTCCTGGCTCCCAACCGGATCGGTTATTTCCGAGAGAGGGAAGACTGGTCCTTTGTCCAGAAGGATGGAGAAGACGCGCAAGGGACCCAAGAGGCTCCTGTCCCGCTTTGAGACCCCTGGCTGGGCGCAGAACGAGTCCTAGGGTTGCTGCTTTGGCCGAGCGAGATCGTGCCTCCTCTTGCGAAGGGAACTTTTCTTCTGCATTTTCTGAGATTGGGGATGGGACGGAGGAGAGGAAGGGGGGGGGAGAAGGCGGAGGGAGACTGGCCGGGGTCCAACATTCAACTGACGCAACGAAAAGGCGAGGAATTGGGGAGGGGGGTGAGCTCCAGAAGGAGAAAGAGATCCAGAAAGCAGTGGAGGAGAGTTCATCCCTAGGAAACTCCAGGGAAGAATTGGCTCTTGGGCTTTAAAAAAAGCCAGTTGGTAGAATTAGTGGCTGGTCCCTCTAAGAAATGGAGAAGGTGGTTCTGAATAGTTTGGGGTGGGGTTTCTTTCTTTCTTTCTTTCTTTCTTTCTTTCTTTCTTTCTTTCTTTCTTTCTTTCTTTCTTTCTTATTTATTATTCAAACTTCTATACCGACCTTCTCCTTTCGGACTGACTCCTTTCGGGCTCAGGGCGATGAACAGCCAAAATGTTTGGGGAGGGCCTTTCCCAGCTCAAGTTTTGCCCAAAGCAGCGGTTAATACAGCTGTGTTCTCCACAGGGGGTGCTGGGTTTATCTTGGTGACCTTAGCTGGGTCCGAAGGTTGAAGCTTTCAAATTATTTTAAGCTAAAACCGGAAAGATTTTTGCTGGGGATTTTACCCGAAAGTTACAATAAAGAGAATACTTCTTTGATGATCCATGTTCTAACCGCAGCTAGAGTTGTATTTGCACAACATTGGAAAAGTGAAGAGATTCCTTTTTTTTTTTTTTTAAATTTGATTTATATACCGCCCTTCTCCGGAGACTCAGGGCGGCTTACAATGCGTTAAGCAATAGCCTTCATCCTTTTGTATATTTATACAAAGTCAGCTTATTGCCCCCACAATCTGGGTCCTCATTTCACCTACCTTAGAAAGGATGGAAACCTTGAGCCTTGGAGAGATTCGAACCAGCAGAAATTGCAGGCAGCTGGTCTTAATAACAGGGTGCACTAAACCACTGTACTATCAAGGCTCTTGCTTTAGTGATGGGATCCTTAGTGATCCTTAGTGATGAGAAGGTGATCAGGAAAATATTAGAATGTGCAGAAATGAATAGATTAACACTAGCAATTAAGGAGAAAAGAGCAAACTGAATATTATATTTAATATTACAATTACATATTTAAATTTGTAATTGGTTTTAACGGGGTTATTTTAAATTGATGGCCAAAATTATTAATGTTTTTTAAACTGCTTTTAAATTTTATATGTTGTGTTTTACCGTTTTACCGTGGCTGTTCACCACCCTGAGTCCTGTTGGAGAAGGGCGGTATACAAATTAAATAAATAAAATAAAAATAAAATAAAATAAAATAAATAAATAATATGATATGGGAAGTAGTTTATCAATGGTTAGAAAGTAAAAGGGAAACTGGAAATAAAAGGAGAAGGTTAAAGAAGAAAAGAAAATATGTTAAGATAGAGGCATAAATAAGAGGAAAATTGTTAGTATTATGATGATGTGGATAATTATTCGTAATATGATTATTGTATTTTTATTAGAAGACATCTTAAGAGGAAAAATGAATAGGCTTATAATGTTTAACTGTTTAATATACTATAATTTTAAGATTAGAGAATTAATATTAATGTGAATGATGTTGTAAAAATTGAAGGTTGTTGCACAGAGAACCTAGACAACACACTATTTAAGGAAAAATGAAATGTTTATATTTTGAAAAATAAAAAACTTTTTGGAAAAAAAAATTATCTGATTTTAGGGTGCAGGGATGGAATAGAGATCTTTAGCGTTATCGGAAACCCAGCTTGTTCGATTACTTTTTAATTTTTTTAAAAAAAAGGAACATTAGGTTTAAAATTTTGGTTTATAGTTCACTTTATTGTCTGAAACTGAAAAAACTGCCAAACAACTTCAGGGTATTGTGTGAATTGCAGTCCATTTTTTCCCTTAGTGTTATGGTAGCCAACATGGTTACCTTATACTTTAGTGTCTGGAGTGGAATTGGGTTTACTGAACCAACTATGATTGAGTTAACTTACATTTGTTGTTGTTAGTTGCGAAGTCGTGTCCGACCCATCGCTACCCCATGGACAACGTTCCTCCAGGCCTTCCTGTCCTCTACCATCCTCTGGAGTCCATTTAAGCTCACGCCGACTGCTTCAGTGACTCCATTCAGCCATTTCGTTCTCTGTCGTCCCTTTCTTCTTTTGCCCTCCATCTTTCCCAGCATTAGGCTCTTCTCCAGTGAATCCTTCCTTCTCATTAGGTGGCCAAAGTATTTGAGTTTCATCTTCAGGATCTGACCTTCTAAAGAGCAGTCAGGGTTGATCTCCTCTAGGACTGAACGGTTGGATCGCCTTGCAGTCCAAGGGACTCGCAGGAGTCTTCTCCAGCACCAGAGTTCAAACACCTCAATTCTTTGGCGCTCAGCCTTCCTTATTGTCCAACTTTCACCAGCCATACATTGCAACTGGGAAAACCATAGCTTTGACTATACACACTTTTGTTGGCAGGGTGATGTCTCTGCTTTTTAGTATACTGTCTAACTTTTCCATAGCTTTCCTCCCCAGGAGCAAGCGTCTTTTAATTTCTTGGCTGCAGTCCCCATCTGCGGTGATCTTGGAGCCCAGGAAAATAAAATCTGTCACTACCTCCATTTCTTCCCCATCTATTTGCCAGGAATTGAGAGGGAAAGATGCCATGAACTTAGTTTTCTTAAGGTTGAGTTTTAAGCCAACTTTAATTTACATTACCAACCCTCAAAGCAGATGAAATCCCTCAACCCCTCAAAGAGTTGAAATCTGTAACAGAAGCCCTCTCTAACTTCCAGAAGTGCCTGACTTACTCAAAGTAACTCACGTGGCAAATCAAGCAACAGTATGAATCACTTTCAACTTATTACAGTTGGAAAGTTAGCAAAATATTTTTGTGTACCCTTGATCTAAAGTTTTTTTTTTTTTTTTTTGTGCTCCCTTTCTTTCTGCTGAACACATCCTGAAAAAGATGCGTCAGAGACAGGAGAAGTATACGTGCCAGACATCACTGGAAAATAAAACAAAGCTAATCAGCACTTAGCGAAAGTTTGATATTTTCCCACTGCCTGGAATGGATGAAGAGTTTTAATTCTGGCATCCTGCATCTTCTGTTTAATGGAAATTTACATCTCTGCAAATCTAATTCCTCTATTCCTCATTCTATCTATCTATCTATCTATCTATCTATCTATCTATCTATCTATCTATCTATCTATCATCTGTCTATCTGTCTGTCTGTCTGTTTATCTATCTATCATCTATCTGTCTATCATATGCAAAAGAAAATCTTATGTGTTTTATTTTAAATTCCAATGTTTACTCTTCCTGGTAGACATTCTAATAGTTTTGGGGATGGGGCAGAGGGATAGATGATGATAAATGGGTAGATAGCTAGATGATAGTTAGCTAGCTAGAGATAGAGATAAATGATATAGATAGATGATAGAAAGATAGATATAGATAGATACGAGAGAGAGGGGGAAATGATATAGATAGATGATACAAAGATAGAATGATAGATATAGATAGATGATAGAAAGATAGATAGACGTGCCCGGAAGCGAAAGGATATTGGAGTAAGATCAGGAGATGGTTACAAGAAATAATTGGGGAAGATATTGAATTAACACCGGAAATATTTCTCCTGGGAATAGTAAACAAGCCATATGGAAAGGAAAGGATTCATTTAATGATACACATAATTACAGCCGCCAGATTGGCTTATGCACAATATTGGAAAGAGAAAACCCAGCCACCAGAAGAGCTTACAATTAGGAAAATACTGGAGTGTGCAGAGATGACTAAACTAACTCATGAAATAAATGATGATGAGAATTCAGAATACTATACTGTGTGGGGAAGGTGGTATGAATGGATGAATGATAAAATGAAAGGAAGAGAAAAAGGTGTGTTAAATAAAAGTAAAAAGTAATTTAAAATGTCACCGGAAATATATTTTGTATATAGTTAAAATCACTGCACATCTGATATTAATGGAAATGTCAATATATTTATGTCTTTTTAAACTCAATAAAGTTTTCTAAAAGAAAGAAAAAGAAAGAAAGAAAGAAAGAAAGAGAGAGAGAGAGAAAGAAAGAAAGAAAGATAGATAGATAGATAGATAGATAGATAGATAGATAGATAGATAGATAGATAGATAGATAGATATGAGAGACAGATGTATATAGATAGATGAGGGAGAGGGAAATGATATAGATAGATAGATGATACAAAGATAGAACGATAGCTATAGATAGATGATAGAAAATAGATAGATAGATAGATGAGAGAGGGAGACAGAGAGAAGGAATCTAGATAGAATGTTTGCATTGACCCAACACTTGTGAAGAAATCTGCCAAGCAGTCATCAGTCTGGCCAGTGGTCAGAGTAAGATCATAGAATTATGGAATTGGAAGGAATCTCAAGGATCATCTAATCCAGTTCTCTGAAGTGTTCAAGAAAACCAGTTAAGGCATCCATGAGAAATAGTGGTTCAGCCTTTTCTTAAAACTTTCCAGAGATGGAAAACTCCCAGCCTCCATAAGTAAACTACACCACTGTTATATAGATTTTACTGTCCGGATTTTTTCCCCTTACGTTTAAATAAAATCTAGATTATTATTTATTGTTCAGTGGCTAAGTCATGTCTGACTCTTCGTGACCCCATGGACCATAGCACACCAGGCCTTCCCGTCCTCCACTGTCTCCCGGAATTTGCCCAAATTCACATTCATTGCATCGATGACACTATCTTATCATCTCATTCTCTGCTGTCCTCCTTCTCTTTTTGCCTTCCATCTTTCCCAACATCAGGGTCTTTTCCAGTGAGTCCTCTCTTCTCATTAGGTAGCCAAAGTATTTGAGCTTCAGCTTCAGTCTCTGCCCTTCCAAAGAACAGCCAGGGTTGATTTCCTTTAGGATCGACCAATTGGATCTCCTTGCAGTCAAGGGACTCTCAAGAGGCTTCTCCACAATCTTAAAGCATCAATTCTTCAGCACTCAGCTTTCCTTATGGTCCAACTCTCACAGCCATACATTACAAAATCTATGTAGCTGCCATTTATAACTGTTTTCAATCATCTTTTCTTCACACCGAAGAAGCCTAGATCCTTCAGCCTGTCTTCACAGGGCATGTCCTCAAATCTTATGTCATCTCTGTCACCATTGTGTTTTCTGAATGGTTTTGAGTTACAAGCATTGTTTTCAGCCTGGGCTTCCTTAACATGGTGGGATTCGCACTGAGACAGATAGAAAACCAGAAACATT